ATATATATTGGAGATGTGTGTTTGTGTGTATACATATGTTAATATATATATATACATATCAAAGTGTATATATATATATGTATATATATATTCACCTATAAGTATGTATATGTATATATATATATATATATATGTGTGTGTGTGTGTGTGTATGTGTGTGTGTGTATCCACGTATATATATATATATATATATATTCGAGAATGTACTTGTTCATATGTTGCGATGTCCACATCACAGTATATTTTGTATTCTATCTGCTCACGACTTGATCCGCTTCTCTACAGATTGTTGATTGTGGTCAGAATGCTGATGAGGGCTGTTATAGGGATAGTGCAGATATGCGACAAGGTTTGTACCTGTCAACGCACAGCCTTAACATTGTCGTTGATTCGAACGTCACTTTCGACTTGCTCTCTGTGTAAAAGCACTAATTTTTCTGGCATGATTGAGTCACAGTATAGTATTCGCTACATTTCACGTATTTGGAAATGAATGCAAGTGAAGACTCGTATCCCTGCAGACAACCAGAACAAGGATAGTCAACCTTCGTACACGATTATATGTTACTGTTACCATAGTAACTAAGATCTCCGATTGATATCGCAGATAGCCAGCTACATCGCATATCCCCACCTTTTTTTTCGGAGTCAATACTATAGTTGGTACCGTGATGTATGCGTGTCTACCACAGAGTCACGTACTACTGGCCCTCTCATCACGGTTGCTGTAGAGCGCCTTAACAAAGCCAGAGATTAACAAGTGTACATAGTGTCGACGAAAGCACTCTCTCCGTTAACTCTTCATAACTACATTTGTGTGTGTGCGGTAAGAAGCTCTCGATCATACTGTGTATAGTCCTTGCGCGTAGTTGATGTTCCGGTGTGCTTGTGTATAGTGCAGAGGACTGTGAGCGGTAGCTAGTTCTGCGACCACCAATCACAGCACTACGGATTGTTCCACCCAAGCTTACGCTCTAGGCTCTTAAACAATCGCCACACCCTCCTACTCGTCAAAGCGTTGCATTTGCCCTGACCGTTACGCATAAGCAAACAGAAGGCGTTACAGCGATTCATCACAAGTTCTGGAGATGCTATATGCGGAAGCCAGAATTGTCTCACCCTATTGCTTGAGTGGCTATCTTGGTTGGCGTTCGATACTGGGTTGTGTTCTATTAGTTGTGACTACGACCTTTCTGCCGATGTATCATAGTTGGGGCCAGTTGGCGATAAACTTCTCTATTTTTCGATTTATTGATATCGTATTCTTTACCACTGCAGGGGTGTACAAATTCAGCAAAAAAGCCAAAAATGGACTCAAACTCTTAGTGGACAAGAAAATCATCCAACACGAACCCGAATCGATAGGTATTTGTTCTCATACACCAAACAAAAAGCCCCAATACAACTTGTAATGCGTGTATACCCGGCACGTTTAATTGGGACCTTTTGTTATACAGAACCCTCTTGTCTACTTCTAATTCTCATGAATCATCCGATTCTCATGTGTATTATCTATATACAGCCGTGTGTCACCAATGCCCCCTGTTTGCTACCGCTTGACAGCTTACTCGTGATAGTGTTTAGCAAGTACAACAAGGTGTTAAAGTACTAGCCATGTCTATCGATCTTGGCTCGGTGCCGAACCCTAAAACCATAAAACCCTAAACCCTAAAAACACAAAACTCTATACCCTAAACCCCACCTTGTCCTAAACTATTGATTTTTTGGCATAACAGCGGCCTTATTCGCGCAGGCCAAAAAGTTGCGAATTTCAAAGACTATGATTGGTGAATACCTGGGTGAACCCGATACATTCAATCTATCAGTACTGAGTGCCTTGGCCGATCTGATCAATTTCCACAACCAGACTTTCGTCACGGCGTTGCGACTTTATTTGTCCTATTTTAAGCTTCCTGGAGAAGGTGTGTGTTGGCGTGTACACACGTGTGTGTGTGGTTTCTAGCGCTTTATTGCAGTTTTCTGATTCTGTATGTACATGCGTTTGGAAAGTAGTTCTCTGATTCTGTGTGTACATGTGTGTGTGTGTGTGTGTGTAGCTTTCTGATTATGTATGCGTGTGTGTGTGTGTCTTTGCTCCGAGTTGTTATCGGCTGCCAGGAGCAGGTTGTTTTTTTTTGGACCACACAAGGTTTATTTTCAAACACTTTGGAGTGAACGTACGTACATAGAATAGGCTCAGGGCAGATACGTTTGGTAGTTATGCTATATGTCATGCTAGATACCACATTGATACGATTATATCGATGTTTGATAAGATTAGGTAGATAACACATTGGTAAGATTATATCGATGTTTGATAAGATTAGGTAGATACCACATTGATAAGATTATATCGATGTTTGATAAGATAAGGTAGATACCACATTGACAAGATTATATCGATGGCCGAAATCCGAAGGAGGCTTTTAAGGTGCGTTAATGCGATATCTGAAGATTAGAATAATGCCAGCAACTGGAAATTATCCCGCACCAATCTCATATATAGACCTACAGCCACTCATTCGCACATATTTCCATACAATCAAAACCCACACCTATCTCATCGCGATCTCTCTGAACGTGTCGCCATGGCAACGGTGACACGCCCCGCTACCCCTCCGCAGCGCAAAAGATCGATCGGATGATGCAGGTGTTTGCAGACCGATATTATTCACTGAATGCGCACCGACACGGCACCGATGAGATGCCAATCAACAGCTCCAGTGCAACTTATGTGCTGGCGTACTCCACCATCATGCTCAACACAGACGCACACAACCCCAATGTCAAGCGGCGCATGACTGTTGGTATGAATGTGGGGCTGTGGTTGTGTGAGCTGTTTGGTACTGTGGAAGTATTTGGTCAGCCTGTGGTTGTGTGAGTTGTTTGGTACTGTGGAATTATGCGTATACCCATCGCAAATCGACCCTTTTGTGAGAGTAAATCTGAAGCGAATCGCAATTCAAGTCTCTGTTCTCAGCCATTTAATGTATTCTGGTATGTGGCTTTCCCCTTCACATCGCCAACTGTACACAGATGACTTCATTAAGAACAATCGGGGAATAAATGACACAGAAGATATCCCGCAGCCGTTTTTACGACAAATTTACGACGAACTGCAGACTACACAGCTTATGACAGACGACGAATATATGAACGAAATGAAGGCGGAATTCGCGGACTCGGGTTCTGATTTTGAGGTGAGTGGTCTATGTATTGGAAGTTTGTATATACTCATGGATAAGCGATGTGGTGTGGCTCCTACTTGTATATGTGTATACTATTAGCATACATACATCGCAGGCACGTGCATGTATCGGAAAAGCCCGTGTGTGCCTGATACCACACGTGAAAATTTACACATCGTTTACAGATTGCATAAAGGATATCTTTTGGTCTAAGGGTTTAGCGCCTAGGGTTCTAAACCCCATGACATCGATTGCAATTCGACACACTCACAATACAATGTCACCTGCAGACGACCAAGTTTCCATAGCAACACACATCTCGTACACCTCACAGGGGTCAGTGGTATGCATAACTAACACACAGCATGTCTTTTACTGCCGATTGCTCATGCTCCCTCAGCCTATTATCAACAACGCCTGTCGGTATCTAGTACAAGCAGTGGACTGTCAACAGTACAGTGACGCGAACAAAGCGCAGTCGAACAAATCAGAGGGACATCTGCGCAGGCTGTCTCTGTTTAACGACATGCTGGTAGTGACTAAGAAGGTGAAGATAGAGCACAGCTATCGAGATGCCATTGCCTTGCACGACGCCACAGTCCTAAGTTTCGGGAGTGAGAGTATGTTTTGTCTTTTTTGGTTTTGTTTTTTTGTCCTGATTTCGGGTGAAGGCTCTTTAAATTGGCTGAGCAAAATTAGTTCTCATCCTGCTGAATGCCGCAAAGAATGTTGTACCATATAGATGCTGAATCTGAAGCACTCCTAAGTGCATATGTGATGTGGATGCTGCATAGCGTTTCTGTGGAACTATATCCATACATTCGCTAGTACGTATCATTAATATCATTAATATCTGTTTTCTGGGCAGGAGCGACAGGGTTCCAACTGATGGACGCGTTTAAACGTTTACACGGACCGTTTATATGCGAAGACGCTTACACAACGAATAGATTCGTGTCATCCCTGCGGAGTTTGATAGCAGAGGCCAGTGTCTTGGACGAGGCAAAAGGAGGTATATCGGCTTCTGTGTACATGCGATACTGAATTGCGCACCTAGTAGAAGCTGCTTACGGGTATATATATATATATATATATATGTGTGTAACTGATAGACTCGATTTTTTGTAGTGTTCGCTCCGAGAAAACATATAGGTGTACACACCTCGCATTCCATGCGCGAGTGCCGCTTCTGAAGTCTGAAAAAAAGCTTACTACTCAAGCTTACTTGCACGGCATCTAGGCGGTTTTCACTCTAAGACTACGGTAGTGTAAAATATATATCACTAACGTTTTAACTTATAAGTGGCTCTACGCTTCGTACCTCTGGCAGTCATCCATTTGTATGTTAAATTCAAACGTATATCCTAAATCATCCCAGTGTGTGCGCCCTTACGAACGCTGCATTCGGATTCAATGGGGACTACACTGCCCCGTATGTCGGATGATAAAATCGCCAGCTCCAACTTACTACTACACACAACCCCTGCGCGCTTGCCTTTGGGCGACACTTCGCCGTCAACCTGTATGTACGCCGTCTGGGATGTTGCAAAATGAAAATTAATGTGAATTGTGTATATAAGCGGATATGAATATACCATCTGCGACAAGTATCGGCGAGGAATCTTTGACACGGTTCGATATTCGTACACGAAATAACTACACTCGGTTGTGCACTTTAACCATGTGAACTTGCATCGGTGGCGATCGTGATTTCATACGTAGCTTGTCTAAACCATATGTGTGTTGTTGTTGTTTTAATCCCAACTTTACTATGTGTTGTTCCGTGGCTGGTTGTGCCTGTCACTTCTAAGTGCTTTTTCCTCCGCACCAAAATAATCAAAAGGGCTTGTCCTCCACCCGGCACGTTGTTAACTATAACATTTGTCTTCGCTTTAAACAATGCAAATAGCTCACCAGGTAGAGACCCATTCACCAACTTGATACGTATCTCATCTGCCATTTGGTAGCGCAAAGTATCATGTGTTTGATTTTATACATACCTGTAAACGAAAGTTGTTCTAATAGGGTAATGGTAGATGGAGACATTTCAAACCCCCACCTAGTTCTTATCCAGTGCTGTTTTGGTCATCAGGAATTCCCATACAATTCAAACGAATCGTTTTTAGCATCCGATTCAATAGTGCCTTGCCCAAGTATAGAATTGCAATGCTTAATGTCGTGATTTCATGTCTCAAATCTTAATCAACTTGTTAGTTTCAATGCATGTGACCGTGTTTATAAGGATTGTAAACTAAATCGTCTAAATTACTATGGTTAACCCTACAGATCTAAAGCAATTTGATTAATCCTACAGATTTATATTACTATGATTAACCCTGCAGAACTTAATGTCTTACTATTCACAGCCCCACGGCGAAGAAGAACGACAAGCGTTTCAAAGGTACGATCGAGGCAGTGGGCGTAGTGTCTATAGTTTATGTTTGTCGCCGCTTCTCACTGTAAAATTCTAAGCTTTGTAGTCACAGTTCGATGTATATGCCATGAGTTGAGTGTTTTGGCTTTAGTTGTGGAAACTTCTATGTGTAGACGCTTGTTGTTGGTGGCTTACCTACTAGCTTAAGTCCGGATGGCCTGCCATTGATAGGGATGAGCCTTCGTATCTACGAACTCTAACCTTAGAATTGCTCCCAACTAATTCGTATAAACGAGAAAATTAGGGGGGTTTTTTACCAGTAAAAGCTTCCTTTTACAATTACAACTCATCCACTCTCATCTCATCACACAGGGAATGAGCACAGTGCGCAGAGCCCTTTCAATTTCTTCGCCGCAAACCAGTATGTTTTGAATTGCTTGAAGTTATACTTTTGACATGTGTCACTCCCGACAAGAATGAATCTACACCATGTCAATTGCAAATCTGTTAATGCCTGCATACTTTAGGTTCGACATATTACCTACCCCGTGCAATTGATTTCTCCCAGCACTACGCCGATTATAATCTCGCTGTACATTACATTTATACCAAATACAGAACGTTCGTCCAAGACATACAAAACGCCACCCATTCAATCGGAGTTGCCCTTGGTATCGATATCTTCCGCGGAGGGTGAGAAGTGAAAATTTAGTTGTAGAGGCTCGATGTTTAACCATATGTATGTTCACTCAATCGTATGCTCACAAAAAATAAAGCCGAAACACTAGCTACACGCAGAATTGCAGAGATTTCATGGTCTAAAACTATAGGTGTAGGCTTACCTTATGTTATAGACCTTGTTAGTTCAGACTTTTTTTGCCGTTCTCTATATCAAATGCACCCAGCTGAACTGCTTCTGTATGCTCTCGACGCTGCACTCGCTTCCTACACCGACTGCGACTGGTGTGGTGACCATAATTATCGCAGATTTGCATCAACGGCACACCGATTTACTAGGAATCCGCCAAGCAGAAGACTGACTCTCCTAGTTCTAGTTAAGCGAAATATACGACAGTATTATAAAGTATACGGCAGCATCCTTACCCTCACTATTGCATTAGACTGTTTTCTTCCCACGGCAATACACCGTGACATCTAAATCGCATAAAAAAGCATTAGGAATTAGTACTCCTTAAGTATTGATGCGTGCGGGCTCACATACATAAGATATTTCGTATGAAACGGTTAAGTATAATTCCCTCCAAAAGGTGGGTTTTGCTGAACAACGAATGTTCTCTACTCACCCCAAAAAAAAAACTGGTTGAGGATAAACAACTCCTTTTTGTATGAATTTGTACTTCAGACAGATAAACATTCAATTCTTGTGAAATCATCACCTTATTAAAATATGGCTCTGATATATTGTTTTTTTTCCATCAAGGAATGCAGAATCATCCTTGTCATTATTCATTCAGATGTCATGTATCCTGAACTGTAAAATAAAACACAAAGGTTTGTGTATTTATCAATACCGAGGTATGAAATGAAATCAAGAGAGCTATCCTCGATTTTAATTAGATATTGGCTTCCACCACCACCACTACATATTCCAAGATACACTCATCAGTGTTTATTAGAAATTGCTGTTGATATGAAGCAACACGTTTGAAATCAGTAAATTGCGTTGTATACATAAAACAGTGTTTCAGATAAACTAAGAGAAATCGAGTACTTTTTGTCAAGTGGACAAAATAGAAGCCTTTTTTTTTGCTTTCATTATATCAACTGCGTTTCTACAAATTCTTGAAAATCAATCCGCAAATCTTAATAGCTATACTTGCGATTGTTTGTTAACCGTACTTGCGATTGTTGGGATTATGGTGAATCTCCTCCTTCCTTTTCCACCAACAGTCCATCTTCATAAAATGATAGTATTGCCGTTGTCTTTGTTATGCAATCAAATACAGAAAACGCCGAATTGTTCTTTCCGCAGTTTTAGTAAGCGCCAGAAATGTATGAACCCACCCTATCGTAGCATCTGACAATACTTTATTTTTCACAATGGATGATCGCTGAATCAACAACCCTTTTTTGTCAATTTAACATGAGTATATTGATACTGTGGAGAAAAGATATAAATATAATCACATAGGTTGTTTTATACTTCCAAATTTGATGTCAATATATCAAGGACGAGTATAGCGCACTTCGTATATGCGATTTGAACACGAAAATTATCCAAGTGCTTGATGTAATTCTAACCATACAACATTTGCAGTCGATGTAGAACTGTCATCGATCGCCATCTCACCGGCGAAGAATTCCGTACGGCAAAATATGTGTTGCCTCATATAATGGTCCTCCCATTCTGTATGGCTCCTTCAATCTAGACATATGTAACCCGTCCAAGAAACTCGATAGAAGTGATCACAGCACTCCAAAAATTAATACACTGTAGAAGATCAGTATTCGGATTCGATAAGAAAGTAGTAGACACGAATAGCACCACCGGAGCCTATGCTGGGCAAAATACTCAAACAGTTAGATCAACGAGAATATTACGCCTGATACTCAATTTTCAGTCTGGTAGAAGGCCATCTGGTGGTCCCATCCCTCACATCCATTGGCCCTCCCCAATTGAAGATAATACTTTCATGAGGTAGTGCTATATATATATAGATTTATATGTATATATATATATATATATATATATATATATATATATCTATTAATATGTATATGTATATGTATATATATATATATATATATATATATATATATATATATATATATACATGATATATATATATATATATATATATATATATATCACAATACTTACTTGGTGATGGGCGTACTTCTATGATGAGCACCGCCATTTCTGTGGTACCAAGATCACATACTGTTGGTTCTGAGACCATTACTCTTAGCCGAGCTCTCTAAAGCTCGATTTCAATGGACGAACTATTTTTCCTGAACGTGTCTTACGTCTCATTTGGTCTCTCCATCACAACAGGCCATTTACTATCTTTTCACCTGGACAATCAATGTTGTCGACTTTCTACTCAAACTCCTTGACACATGCACCGGCTGTATTCTCGAAGCGACAAACCAATTATGAATTTGCTAACCCAACCTGATCGAGGCTAGTACCTTGAGGTAATCTGTTATTTAGCTTCAAAGTCATGCCACAAACTTCATGCGGGATTAAATACCAAATGATTTGCGTTGACAAACATACGCATCATGTTTATGGTGCTTCTCTTTGCAAAGACGAAAAAGAGGCCTTCGATTTCATCCAACAACTCAAGCAACAGCCTGAGCAGTGGGCATCTACTGCGGAGTATATTGCCGACGTAGACAGCCCTTTACACAGCAAGATGGTTAAAGATTAATGTCAAACTCAAGGCATTCAGTGTCACATCGTATCTGTCGGTGATCATCGTCATAGTGGACTCGTTGAGGAATTGATCAATACTTATGTTGATTGGGTAGCTCGAAATGGCTACCAGGCCAGGTGGGACCTGGGAAGTTGAAAATTTGCCCGTGATGTTAGTTCCAGTGTGAAAACTATCACCAGCATCGCCCCATATACTTCAATTACTGGGCGATAGTTCCATCATCCTAACAATCGAGCCCTTGAAACTATCCTCAATGAGGATAAGTCTACTACTGATCCTTTTATTCCTTCGATTCCACAACCTACAGATGCTGATCGAGATGTTTGGGAGCGTATCCGTAAGGCGCGTATTTCCCAGGCCACTCAGGCGAATCGCTTCCGTTACGACGCCTCAATGGTTGCCGTTGGACGCCTCGTGCTGTATTCCCTTTTCTCTGACCAAGTTTCAGGGAGTGGTCCAGTCCTGATTCTTTCCCTTGAATCACCAGCCATGCATACTATCCAGGACAAGGGAACCGCTACAAAACACCGCGTTCATCGTTCCAAGATCAAAGTTTATCGTGAGCCTATTGGTACTTCTACGCCTTTTGTTGCTGGTACCCGTGGTAACATTGTTCACACCAATAAGCTTTCTATACTAGTCTATTTAAGGGCGCCCCTGAATATGACAAGGCTCAACTATCAGCAGCCTTTACTGATTGGCCTGCTGCTACTCTTTCCCGCTATATATCAAATGTTGCTATGCGTGCTTATATCTCCCTCGCGGATCATCGTAAGCACTCCCGAGACGAGTTCTTGTTCGATGAGGATCTTGCTTTCCTTTGTCAGCATCTCCCTGCCAACGGTCATACTTCTTCGAAGTCTGCTTTAAAGTGCGCCTACACCCTTGCAATCGACCCTGTCTGCCATGCCTCTAAACTATTCGAAATTTGAGGCTACTTCATCTCATTAAGTCATCTTGACTTTTTTGCAGAATTTTCTTCCTCTTTATCTACGTGTTGGATCCGATTGTGTTCTTCCAATCGGACGGGGGTTGTAAAACCCTCGGACTTCTACAAACCGTTGTATTGTTTTTGGCGCACTACTCTCGTGTGCACCATAAAACCTCCACCTGACTATAAACCGTCACACGATTTTTGGCGCGCCACTTTCGTGTGTACCAACAAGATAGCATTTGGTCGTCGTCGGAGATACAAATACCTGAAACGGTCAGCCGTAGAGTCTCACTTCTTCGGGTGTGCTCCACTGCGACCGACCTATACTCAATAAACGTAGACTCCAGCCATAGTGCTCTCTAGTGTGACTCTTACTGGCCTTTACAGTATTTTGTTTTTCAGTATCGGATATGCACATTTTATCTTTATGGAATACAGCTTTTTCTATCATGGAATCAATTTTTTTTCTTCAAAATTTACCTTTCGTTGTATTTATTTATCGTCCTTTATTCTTTACTAATTTATTATGAAATTTAACATCTTCAGCATATTTCACAGCAGCGGTGTTAAACCACTTATACATATTTTTTCAATACAAACCTTCGGCATTTTCTTCCACCGCCACACCCTCTTTTTCATCGCCTAAGCCTATTTCATTATCTATTTCGTTTCCATTCCCCGTCGCACCCCTAGTTTCGTCCCCAACAATCCTCCCATGAAGCCTCCTTTTCCCTGGCCCTGAACCGTTTTCCGGTATAACATTTGCAGTAGTGTTCCCAAATACGGGCTCTCCTTTATCACAATGAGTATACAGCCCGATGCCAGATCGCAACCCCTCACAAGTCATGGTGCCATTCTCATCTTTTACATAGCATGCCGTTCCATGTAGAAACAATTCGTCCAGGGCTGCCCGGTAGGCCGTGCACGAATACGAGGGGCACTGAGAGAAGGAAGACATTGTCAAGAAGATGCTATTATATAAGACTATAGGTTAAGCGCACATCAGCAGGTATCACATAAACGGAACCAAAATTCAACCCCGAAGTCTACATCGTCAGGGGTTGAGCTCAGACGGCTCACAAGGAGCGACAGTTTCCAAAGCCAAAACAATACAATACCCAGTTCAATATATTGTTTCGAGGAAATATACACACACACCGATATTCAAATCAATATTGTGTATATTCAGGCTAAGGCTCAGGAGTCACAAGCACAGCATGCGCACACCTTCAAATAGCTTGCGACCACACAAGATCATACCGTAAGGTTGTAAGTAGTCCTGACAAGTGTGCAGTCGCAGAAGCACTCGTTGCCCTGCGGGCTGCAGGTGAAGTTCAGAGGCCTGTCATGTGAGAACGTACAAGCATCATGCCAAGCACAAGCCTTGAAAAACAAAGACGAAAAGTAAAACGAATATCAGTAACGAGTCCAGAATCGACACGAAACATTTGCATGCAACTATGTAAGGGTAGCTGCACTGTATTCATACAGCTAATCCAATGTTCAAATACCGTGTACTATAAATTTCACCAGCGCAGTGGAGTGGCCAAAGCTTTACAGTGCGGAAGAAAACTCGGATGCTGACGACAAATATCTCATGCGTAACTATATACCTACAAAGCTATATTGAGAATGCAAGAACCTAAACTGTGAGTGACGACGTGCCACAAAACCTTACACATATACAACACATGGAACAGTACAGACCCATTCCCATACACACAGAGCGACTACTGTCTTCGTGAGCATAGCGTCATGTAAACCAACGATATTCGCACGTACAGGCAGCACTGCAAAAAAGATAGACAAAAGCACTTACTCGCGCGTTCTTCACAATCTGAACCACCACACTCCACGTACCGTATAAAACAAATTCAAGCTTAGAGTTCACCCCCGAATGCAAGTAAAGATTGAGTCTCGAGCTAAGCTATAGACATGCCAGAAAACACTTGCAGATGGGCACACTTGTTGTGTATTACATTAGTAAGTCTGAACTTTCAGCGACCATGAAACACAAATTGAACGCCCCTGCAGCAATGATACTGCTGCATTATTCAATATAGCAAAAGCAGACTTACATGGTCCAGGATATCAGTTGGCGGACACTCAGCCAAACACTCGGGGGTAAGGAGAGACGCAGGCACAACCCCGTGCTTTATCTTGCAGTTGGGACATGGTTGACCGCCACAACAATCTTGAAAGCCGCCTATTTGCGGTGGCACGGAGGCAAAAGGATAGTACACAATGAGCAAATGTACAGCTGTAATCCTGTTCCATATTCGAGGATATACATATTGGACCACTACGTCAAAACAAGCCGAAACCGAGTGCAAGGAATGTATAGACCTGTGATGCAACAGTAATATTACAAATATAGCCCTACAAAAAAACACGCACAATAAAACGCAAGTACATAATGAAAGTGAATTAAACAATTGATGCAATTTCGCTTTCATTGATGAGTAACTCAGTTTGATTGACACAATATCGATATACACGGAGACTATGCACATAAGTGTAAAGTCATGA